AATAATAAATAATAAATAATAAATAATAAATAATAAATAATAAATAATAAATAATAAATAATAAATAATAAATAATAGAATTACCTAATTTAACACATCGAGTAGGAAGATAATCCTTCACAGGATTTTTAATAACACGTAATAATTTTTCTTTCCCATCGATAGAATGAATACTATATTTATGAAGAAGTTGTACTATAATAAAAAAATGTTATTAGTAAAAGGTAAACAATAAAAATAAATATAAAATAAATAAAATATTATTCACCCATTAACCCTGAAAATCTTTTAAATGTTCTAGGAATTCTTATATGAGGATTAACTTCAATTAATACATTATTTATTGTATGAATATAAACTTGCATTAATCCGGCTTTATTCAATGGACTATCAAGTAATGCCATCAAGCACTAAAATATAATTAATAGGGAATAATGATTAAATATAATATATATATAAAATAATAACATATATAAAATAAATAATAATAATAATAATAATAATAATAACCTGATGAGTAATATCCGGTCGATAAGTCGAAGGATCAGAAATATTCATTTTATTAAATATTTTATTATGATCATCACTATTAATTAATTGATATTTTTTCGATTTGGGATCTTTATAAACTTCCAAATATGATTTTTCCAATATCACAATTAATCTTCGAGTGAATTCTTTTTCTTCAAATGTTTTGGGAATTTTGGGAACTTTGGAAATTAAATAGGCATCGATTTTGGGAAATGATTGTGTGAATTGATTATATTTATCATCATTATTATCATTATTATCATTATTATCATCGTTGCCTGTTGGTATAATATCATCGGTTTGGATCCCAATAGATTTAAATTCTTTGATTTTATTTATTATTTCTGGTATTTCTGATATTTCCTCCTTCTCTTCTTCCATCTCTACATCCTTCTCTACTTCTATCTCTTCTTTTTCTATTATTATTTCTTCACTTTTTTTTAACCTTTCTTCCTCCTTGACTTTTTTATTTGTAACATTATTTTCTTTTTTTGCTCGTTTTCTTCGTTTTTTCTTGGATTCCTGTCTATCTGACATCATTTTCAAATAAATTTTTAATAATTATGAGAATTTTTAAAAAAAAATAATAAAATAATAAAATAATAAAATAAAATAATAAAATAAAATAATAAAATAAAGTAATAAAATAAAATTTAGATGTAATCTCGTCTCGTTATTGGATGATTTCAAATAAAAATTATTATTATAGAATAGATAATCAAAAATAATATTACTCAATAATATAACACTATGTTATTATTATCAAAAAGTTGGAGATTATTATTTTCTCTTCGTCCAAATTCAATTTTTTTTCACAATGCAATACAAAAACCAGTATTAAAAACTTTACAAACCTCAAAAATATCATCAACACCAACACCAACAAAAATAAAAACAACACCACAAAACTTTCATAATGATAATAATGAACAATTAACAGTTTGGATGGTATATGGAACACCTTTAGTTAATATATTTCTTTGGGGTTCAATAACTTTTTTCAGTTTACAAATTGCTTGGTATAAATTGGAATTTGCTGAATATAAACAATTGATGGATAAAAAAATTGTGGAATTGGAAGAACAGGTTGAAATGTTGAGGAGAAAAAAATCAAATTCATCATAATAATAATAATTATCCATATTTTTTTTTTTCATATATATATATTTTTTAATTTGTAAACTAATATAGCAATTATATATTATAAATAAATAAATTTTTTAATCACTTTCTCAATTCTAAATTTAAAATTCTTTTTTTTTTTTTTAATCTGTTATTTCTTTTTTAATACCTTCTTTAATAGTATTGGTATTGATATCAGAAGTAGTATCAGTAGAAATAGTATCAGTATCAGTATCAGTAGTAGTAGTGATAGTAGTAGTAGTAGCAGCAGCATTATCAATAGTATTGGTATTATAAATACCAGCTTTCCAATTCCTATCACTTGGAAAAACAAATTCTAAATCTAATAATTCAAAAATTTCCTGTTCACTTTCCACCAAAATTAAAGGACCCAGTTCACCAGTGTTAGGATCTTTTTTTGCAAATATGGTATCAGTTAAAATATAATTTTTTTCGGCTGCCATTTTAACCAAATATCTATAAAATTCGGAATTTCCTGTCCAAGCGAGAACTCCTAACCAAAAATGATCATAAGGTGAAATTCTAAAAGAAAATGTAAATATAATATTAGACAGATATACGTGTGAAATTAATTAAAATATTAAATATTACCGAAATTCAATTCGCCTATGTAAATTGGGATTTTTGTCCGTGTCTGAACTTGGAAGTTGACAAATTGCCTGTACGCATTATATTGTATATTGTATATTGTATATTGTAATTATGATATATATATATATATAGTAACATCAAATATTAATATCATCAAACATATTAAAAATTCTTACTTTATATTTACAATTCCCTTTCTGTATATAATCAGTACAAAATCCCGAATTCTTTAATTCGACTAATATTCGTTTTAAAATATTATTTCCTGTCGTACTAATAGCTGCTTTGGTAGAATTGGGATTTAATTTGAAACCTTGATGGGTAATAAATAAATTTAATTCTCGACTTGTACTTGCACCACGTCGACTATATATATATAAAATAGATTTATTGAATGATAGATTGATAATAAATATATAAATAATATAATCAATAATTAATAATAATAAAATAATAAATATTATTAAAATTATTATATTATTAAAGAATTAATGCATACAAACTGCCACAAGATCTACTCATAAATCTAACATCTAATTTGACAAGTGTTTCCACTATCTGTTTCCTTAATTCTTCTAATTCCTCTCTAGGAATTTCATGATTTAATTCTTCAATATACGGAAGTTCGAATTTTAAAAGTGGTGTGACGTCCGGATCCTTTTCTATCTCTTCAATTGATTTGTAACCCTTTTCAATTAATTTTTTTGCATTCGCCCTCCTTTTTAAAATTTTAAATTAATTTTTTTTTTTTTTTAATATTACCAATTAATATATATATTAATATTATCAAATTAAAGATATTAATATTATTATTAATTTAAAGATATTAATATAAAAATATATAAATAGCAATAATCACCCTATTTCTGGTAACGTCATAAAAAGATGAATAAGTTCTCTTTTACTGGAATCTTGTAATTGCGAACATGTTCCCTGAAAGTTTATGATATGAGGTGGAGAATATCAGGTCAAGGTAGTTATGAGGTGATTTTCGTGACAACTAAAGTGAATATAATATATATAATATATATTCACTTTAAAAAAAAAATTCTTAAAAAAAAATATTTTTTTATAATATTATATATATATATATATATGTGAATATTTATATTTACCGTTTCTATTATTTCATCTATTTTATCAGATATACTTTGTCCTATTCCTTTAAGTTCTTGTGCCTCCTTTCCTGATGTAATTTCTTTAGGATGATTTTTGATTGATTTTACGGCTGCTCGATAAGCACGTTCTCGATGATAATCTTTTACTTCCTTTTCTTTTTCTGCAAGTTCTTTAATAATTATAATTATAATTTGAAATTTTATCATTTATAATTATAATTTTAAGATAAATTAGTTTAAAATATGTTTTGGTAAGAAGTCAATTGATTAATATTTTTTGGAAAAACTTACGAATTAAAACTTTAATTATGTTCTTATTTAATTTTGCAGGAGGAATTCCAGAAGAATTATTATTACTATTATTATCATTCTGTCCATCAGTAACTTTTTTGAAATCTTTAGAATCGGTAGAATTGGAATCGAATGAATTAAATTCATCTGAATTTGTAGAATCAATAGAATCAAATGAATTTTCCGAATTTTCAATAACATATTGATTATTTTCTTCTTTTTTATTATTATTATTATTATTTGTCATTTGATCATTAGATATCTTATTTCTTGTAAGGAAAGAAAATTTATATCTTCCAGGTATTATTACGCGTCTTAATAATAATATTTGAGATTGTCGTCGCGTTGTTGTTGGTCTCGTTATATTACTTGATATAGTTGATATGGTCGATATATTATTTGTATTTGATATGGTTGATATATTCATTATTTTATTCGATATATTCGATATATTCATTATATTATTTGTATTATACCGATAAAATATTAAGTGAGCAAGTTTAAATAATGAAATTTTCCTTTGATTTCTTCTCGACATAATAAATTTTTGTGGAGATAAAATTCTTTTAAAGAAGGTTTAAAGGGATTTAAAAAATATGATTAAAGAAAAAAAAAAATACAGAAGAGATTATCACAAACGTCATTTGATTTTTTGATAAAATTCTCTATTTATATTCTCTCAAAAAAAAACAAGTTTATACTTAGGTTTAAAATGTCGTCTTCTGATAATAAGACTTCTTCGAAATCACCTTCCACCACCAACATTATTACTTCTACTTCTAATAGTTCTTTAGCAACAGCAACAAGTACTTTATCTTCCGCAATTAATACCACCACTTCAGCCATTACTACAACGACTTCTGTTCTTACTTCGACCTTATCTTCCTTAACTTCTAGCGTATTACCTTTGACTTCCGTCTCCTCCCCCTCTTCTTCCTCCTCGTTGTGGTCGTCTCAACCACCAAAAATAATAACAACTGGAATAACAGGAGAAACAACAGGAATAACGGCTACAACAACAACAACAACAAAAATATCACAACATAAAACCAATCCTTCTCGTCAAACTTTACAACCGGAAGAAATGAGACGACGACTTTCTTCTTCGACTTCCTCTATAGTCGAAGAAGGAATGAATAATAAAATTAATCAAAAAGAAGTTAATAAGATAACCACAGAAATGTTTAGTAAGGTTGCTGAATATTTAAAAGGAGAAATGTTAGGTATATATTATTTAATACGTTTATTAAATCATATTTTTTATTATTATTACTTTTATATATATATATATTATATATTTATATTATTTTTAATTAAATAATTTAGCAACAACTGAAGATTATAAACTTTTAGAAAATATGAATAAAGTTACGCGAGATCGATATAAAGAAATGTCTGGAATGGCTCAAAATTTAGTAGTCGAAATGGCTAAACTTCAAAGAATTTGTATGATTTATTTTTATTATATTTTTTTGAATATTATTATATTTTTTTTATTATTATAATAATTATTATTTTTATTATTATAATTATTTCTATTATTATTATTATTATTATTATTATTATTATTATTACTTTGAAACATTAGATATTGATTTAGAACCATATGTTCAACAAATTGATGAGATTTCAGAACAAGTTGATTTTTTGGAAAAAGTTACAAATGAATTAGATGATTATTCTAAAGAATTAGGTAAATAAAATTATATTTATTATTATTGAAAATTAATAATTTATTTTTAATTTTTTAATTTAAATTTTTTATATTTATAGAATTGCGTATAAAAAGAGTTACCAAATAATTTTATTTAAAATAATAATAATAATAATAATATGTAATATTGTACTGTATTAATAAAATGTATTATATAATGATAATAATAAAATGAATAAATAATGTAAATTTTAAAAAATATTGATTCTTTGACCAACCAAGATTCTCGGAGAAATCCCTTGTATAATATTCTTGAACAAGAAACTCAAACTATAGAATTTGTTATATTTGTTATCTATTTAATCTCAATTTTAAATTTTATTTGTAAATTTTAATTTATAAAATTTGTATAGAGTAGATATATCTGGTAAATTTTAATTGTCCATTACCGAAATTATTGTATAAAGTTTCTCTGTTCACAGTTTCTATCATAATCCTTGAAGCAGTACATAAACGCTTCCCTTTCTTGTCCATATACTAATTCGAATGCATGGTAACTGATTCGGAAGCCGAATGTCCAGTATGTAAAAAGGTATATACACGTTTAGGTATATGGGGTGATTGGAATTGTTTGGGTAAAATGACCACTATTATCTTAATTGCCCGATCAAAAGGAATTAATAATCGTCAAAAAAAATCTATTACTATTTATTAGTACGATTTGCATTTCCGAAGTAGCAACAAAAATAAAATCCGAATTCGTACTTTATTAATATAAAATTTTTTCGCATTATTACAAGTAAAAACTAGTTGTAGCACCAATGATATCCATGTGCACTTCAATAAAGAAAGTTCAAATAAATCTCATCGACTTTAAATTATATTAAAAAATCCATCTTTAAAAGAGCGTATAAAAAGCAGCTTCACTAATCAAGGAACGATCCAAATAAATAACAAGTTTATTATGCAACTATAATCATCATCTGATTATAAAAATTATTTTGTCATGGTAGTGTAGTGTACTTCATAATAATAAAGTTCATATAAAATTATTATTTATTTCTATAGAATATCTATTTCTCTACACTGGTCAAAAACAAAAAAAAAATCACTGACTAAAATCGCCAAAAATCGGAATTCCTAAGTATATTAAAACTAAAAATCAGACAAATCGACCATCCTATTCTTTCCTATTATCTGTAAAAAAGTATTAATGAGATGTAAGTATATTGACTGCCAAAGAAAAGAAGAAAAAAATTTCTCACCTTAGTTTCAATAATTGCTAATCGTTCTTTAACATTCCTCAACCCTTATGACTTATGATATAATCCTTCAGTTCTGTAAATTGTTTTGTAAAATCATTTGTCAATACTATACTTGTATGTAAAATAGTTTATCATAATAAGTCAAAATATTTTGGAGGACAAAAGTCAAAATAGTTTTCATAAAAGACAAAAATATTTTACTTAAAACCAGAAATTTTTTGATTACTCAGATAAATTCTTTGATTGAAAACACATTAAACTGGGTACTTTAATTTATTTCCATATAAAGAATAGATAATTCAAAATTTTTAAAAAGATGAAATATCTCAAAAATTAATTAGAATCAATTTTGGAAACATGTATAATCAATATGTTTTCTCATATTGTCAATATGTTTTCCCATATTGTCAATACATTTTTCTATATGATCTATACATATTATCTAAATTGACTCAATTCCAATTTTTCAATTTTTAATTGTCATTTACTATTTAAAAATGAAAATTTTGCTTGACACAATTTCAATATGATCCACGCGCTAGGTTCAAACAATGAGTTAGTGAATTTATATACATATATATAAGCAATAATTGTTCAAATCTTTTCTTACTTCAAAGAGTGGTGCAATATTCTATTTTAATCATATAATTTACAATGGTAAATGAAGCAGTTCCAATGTTACACTGGTAGAATGAAGAAAAATAGGCAAAATTTTTGGTACAAATAGGCAAGGAGATTTGTGGATGATACGTAAATGGGCTGCACCAAAAATTTTGCCGATTTTTGATCATCCGATATGTACTTCATTTTTTCTTACTTGGAAAAAGCGAAGATTGGTTTGTATTATATACAATAAAATTTTGGATCTATATCCACGTGACGAAAGCAATCAATATCATCCTTCATGAAAGTCAGATTGCTAATTGCCTCATCCATGAAAATGAAATAGAAGCCTCTCGGTAACCAAATGACTTGGTCGTGAAACATGTAGTGCTAAATTATATCAGATCCAAGGTTCTTATTCCGTTATATAATTCAAATACATTTAGCCAGTATATACACATATATCATCTTCTTGACTATTTAAACAATTGATTTAATTAAAATAATTATCTTAATTATCTTTTTCTTAACATCATTTACTATTATTATCACCTACATTATTATAAACATTTTATCTATATTTTCTTTAGAAGAAAATATGTGGAATACTGTATTTGTGGCATAGTTAAAAAAAAAAAAAAAAAAGTATAAAGAACACTTTTTTAATATGTTAAATAAGGTGAGGTGTTTAAGCCAAAAGGCTTATTTGTTGACCAATTATATTAGTCCACATTCAATTTTTACCATTTTCGGTCTTCTAATTTTACCTTGCGTTGTGGCATTTGTATCTCTAAGTATAGTAATTTCAAATATTGAATTTATAAAAAAATATTTGAATTTATAAATAACTTATAAATAGTGGATAAAATAAATCGTAGCCGTTTTTTTTCTTTTATTAAGTTTAAATAATTCTTATTTACTATATTATACCAACTACAACTACTACTATTCTCTTAATCTTTTTTATTTTTTTGAATTTACGTTAATACAAAATGGTGAGTGAATCTTTTTTTATTTTTTGGTAGAAAAAAAATAAAATTATCTATTTTCGATTTCTTTTTTATTTATTTTTTTTTATTTATTTATTTATTTTTCTCTCTCATTAATAGCCAGGAACTACAAATCCAATCATTCGTAAGAAAAATTTAACATATGCTTCAAATATTCATAACCGAGGTCATGTTAAAACTTCTTTGGTAATTATTTAATATATATAGTACTTGTTAATTATTATGTTATTTATATTCAGTTCAAATTTATTAATTAAATATTATTTTCATTCATTAATTCAAATAATTCAAATATAATATAATAATTAATATAATTATAATAATGTAACAGCGAAAGGAAAAAGAAAGCCAATTACCAGTTGGTTATTTTACATTAGGAATTATTCTTTTCGTAGTTGTTGGTTCTTCAATTTTTGAAATGCTTAAATTTATTTAAAAAATAAGATTCAGTCAGTCAGTCATTCCTTCGTTCACTCACTATTAATAATTTTAGATCCTTTTTTTTTTTTTTTTTGTTTCAATAATATTTGTTTCAATAATGCTTTTTTTTCTTCTTTTTGATCTAAAAAAAATTATGTATGTTAGAATGAAAACAAATGTTATAAGAATTAGAATATTCGAAGATTAATAATTAATAATTAATAATAAATAAATAATTTAATATTTGACATTGTTATATATATTCTAACATAATGTATATTCCTAATAATGAAAGAAATTATTCCGACATAAAATTAGTTTTGACCAATCAGAATTCTTAGAATTCTTGCTGATAAACTATAAAAAAAAACCCCTTAACAGAATAACAGATATACTTTTTACGTAATAATAATAATAAAATAAAAAAATAATAATAAAAATAATAATAAATGGTAAACCAAACTAAAGCGAATCAACGTGAAAAAGAAATTGATATTGCACGATGCAAAGGTATTTTAGACAATAATATTGTATAATCGAAGTCAAATATTCAGTGATATTCAATGATTATTTAATGAAATCTGAAATTATATATAAATATATTTTTGTATTTGTATATGGGTATGGATATTTAAGGCAATTGGAGTGTGATACCTGAATTGGCAAGAAAATTTAAAAAACATAGCGCAGCAGGAATAGGTATTAACTTTTTGGGAGTGGGAGAGTTTTGTTTGTTTGTCATTAGATTATATGTTTCTTATTAAAAAGTTTAAACTCTCAAAATCTTTGTGTATAGTGCTTGAGCAAACTTCTTTAGCCGAATTTAGTTTAATTCAAGCGATTGAAAAGAATGCAATCGAAAAAAATTTTACTGAGGAAGCATATGATAATGATTCACCAGAAAATATTACAGTTCCTCCAACAATTGATCCTGATGATAGTGAATCATTGTCATCATCGTTAATCACAGATGTATTTAATAAATCAGAGTTAGCATTATCTCATGCTTCAGGACAAGAGAAAGAGGTGAGCCATAAATACATAAATCGGAATTACTACAAATAGTATACAAGGTATTCTTCATTTTACAATTTTTATTTTTATCTTTTTGAAGAATACTTTATTTATTTATTTTATATATATAATAAATAATTAAATATAATAATAATTAATATAATCATCAACAATATAATCATCATCAATATAATAATAATCAATATAATAATAAATAATCAATATAATAATATAATATAATAATAAATAATCAATATTATAATAATAATAATAATAATAATAATAATAAGGTTAAAATAATTTATTTTTCAAGAATTTTTTGACAAATTGAAGAAATGATATATTTTGTTTCCTATTATTATTTCAATTATTATTATTCTTATAATCGATAGTACATAACTATAATATTAGCAAGAGCACATTACGTTGTCGGACGACTTGACAAATGTCTCATAGCTTTGAGTTCTGATTTTGTATTACAAAATATACCATCAGGATATAATTTTGTGTTGATAATTCAAGGATTAACGATTCGAGGTTCGTTCTTTATTTTTTATTTTTATTTTTATTTTTATTTTTAATAATTTTAATAATTTAATTTATTTCTTATTTTTAATAATAATTTATTTCTTATTTTTAATAATAATTTTTTTTTATTATTTTAATTTCATTTAGGAATGGCAAGAGAAGCACTTTTTGATGAGGAAGGTGCAATCGCTTGTTATGATCAAGTTATTACATTATTATCTCAATATTCAGGTGAAAAATCTGAACAACAATTATCAATTTGGTCAGAAGAAGCTTTATATAGAGCGTGTTTATTGAAAGTAAGGTTACGGTAAAAATCAATATCATTTCATTTTAATTTAATTTAATTTAATTTTATTATTTATTATTATTATTATTATTATCATCATCATTATTAGAGTTTTTCATAATTTTTTTTTTAATATTAATATTTTATTATTGTTATTGTTTTAGAGATATTAACGGTGCACTTCAGGCATTTCGAACATATCAAAATTATAGTGGAATATGGGGAGATAAATTTCTTCTTCATAAACGAGCTGTAATTTTCAAGAATTTTATTAAGATTCTTTCTAAATCATATCAAGAAGGTTCATACGTTCCTCCAAGTGTTCAATCTACTAGTGTTAATGGTAACGGCCAACCATCAGTTGTATTTACTCCTACATTTCGTATTGAACTTACCGGATTACATTCTTTATATGAGAATGTTTTATATCAAATTACTTCTTTTCCAAGAGCTGGTGAAGTTAATCAAAAAGTCTTAGAATTCGTTGATCAGGTTATGTCAGATTGGGTGATATTAAGAGGTGGAACTGCGACAGAAATGAGAGGACTTGTGGATGTTTGTATTATTGTTTCTATTATTATTATTATTATTCAATTAATTAATTATTATTATTATTCAGTTAATATTATTATTCAATTAATTATTATTATTATTCAATTAATTATTATTATTATTCAATTAATTATTATTATTATTCAATTAATTATTATTATTCATTACTCAAATTAATATTATTATTATCCAATCAATTAATATTATCGATTTACAGATTCTTTATCGTGCTACACAAAAAACTTTTCAATCTCCTAGAATTCTTCGACATCTTATAAGCACTTTAATTACACTCGGTGATTATGAAGAAGCCGAATTAGCAGTTAATTCTTACGTTTCTCTGATTGAGAAGAATAAAGAAACTAAAAAAGAAGAGATAGAACAAAAGATTCATTTATCTAAAAAGATGACTTCGAATGAATACACGGATGGTGAAAGTTCCGAACACGTTATACAGGTTTTAATCATGGGATCCGAATTGATGGCGAAATATTTAAATAAAGTATTTTTTTTTATTTCATTATTATTATAAATACCGCTTATTTATTATACTTTATATTTTATACTTTATACTTTCATTATACTTATCATTATTTTAATTTAAATCTAGTCCAAAAAAACTTTGGAATTAGCACAAAAGGCAGTTAAATGGGGTGAACAAAGTATCGACGTTAATGATGAATTATTAGCTCACGCTTGGCGTTGCGTTGGTGTGGGTTGTAGTTTAATGGCCCGTGAAGGTTTATAAATATTTTAATATTATTCATTTTAATCCTTTAATATATAAATTTTCTAATTTTTATATTCTTTCAATATCTATATTTTTTTAAAGAAAGTGATCAAGACAAGCGTCCCGAATTTCATACTGATTCTATTGAAGCATTTACTAAATCAATCCAATTCGATCCCGAAGCTTTTGAGACACATTATTTATTAGCATTAGAATATGCCATAACTCGAGATATTGGACAAGCAACTTCTAGTGTACGTCAAGCACTTGAACTTGATAGTACAAGTATTTCATGTTGGCATTTATTAGTTCTCTTAATGTCATCACAAAAAGATATTCAAGGAGCTTTAAAAGCTTGTGAATTTGGATTAAAAGAATCGGATTGGGAAAATTCAGAATCATCGATTATGGTGGGAGATTACGTTGTTGTTAGTAATAGTAATGATAATAATAACAATGATAATAACAATAATAATAATAATTATTATAATAACAATGATAATGATGGAGAAGAAATTCTTTCATTTAAATTATCTCAAAATATTTTACAAGAATTAGCATTTGGACCTGATACCACAATTCAAAATTATGATAAATTATTTGCATTATATACGAAAGTTTATCCGGATTATAATAATAACAATAGTTCAAATTCATCAAATGGTTCAATTTATGATTCAACATTTAGTTCACGAAAACCTAGTCACATTTTTGAAGAACAACTTATACCCGTGACTACTTCCACAATTCCTACTACACCCACAACACCTAATAGATTTACTACAAGTTCTCGTAGTATTTCAAGTATTAATAAAGATGGAAATGCCAGTACTGAAGGATCAATATCTAGTATTGGTATCGGTAATAATAAAGATACTTTAGGTAAAATATTCATATTTTTATTTATTAAATTTATTAAATTTATTAAATTTCTGATATATTTTGACACACATTATCAAAAATATATATATATATATATATTTGATATATTTTTTTTGATATATTTTAATATTTATTTCATTATAGACGTTCCCAAAACAAGCTATGCACCCTCAATATCATCATCTAGGAATTCATATTCATCTCGACGTAATAGTCCAACTCCAACTATTTCCGGTTTGGCAGCTTCATCTTCCAAATCTGCCACATTCTCATCATCAAATACTTCGAATTCACCAAATTTAAAAATTAAACAAAGACGTCAACGTGCTGCGAAAGCTTTGGCGGATTTATGGCTCTCTTCGGCATCCACTTTTCGTCGTCTAGGAAATTTTGAAGAAGCTCAAAAAGCTATTGAAAGTGCGGAAGATGCTGATAATACTAATCCGAATGTTTGGTTCCAGGTAATATACATATATATGTTGTTACATTGTTATGATTTTTTTTTATTAATATTTTTAAATCACCATTTAATTTATATATATATTTATATATATTCTTTTATGGTGATATGTATAGTTTGGTCTCTTGCTTTTCGCACAAGGACAATTTAATGATGCAATTACCTCATTTCATAAAGCTCTGGCAATTGATGGACGGCATGTTTCTACTTTGGTTCATTTGGCTAGAACTTATTTAGAAACAGATAATCTCGATATTGCAGAAGGAATTCTTGAAAGTGTAATCAAAAGTAATGGATGGGATTGTGCAGAGGCTTGGTGAGTACACCTATCTTTTTTCTTATATATATATATGAAATCAGTAATGATGATAATAATATTTTATTTATTTTTTAGGTTATATCTTGGTAAAATATGTCAAGCCACTAACAGAATCAAAAGAACCAAGGATTGTTTATGGTACGCTTTAGATTTAGAGGAAACTAGTCCTATTAGACCATTCAATATTTTACCTGTATGCCTTTAAAGGAATATTTATTTATTATTATAATATATTAGTTTATTATTATTATTAGATCTAAGGATATTATTTATAATGTAGATTTTTTTGGGGAGGAAATTTTATTGCAGAGAGAGAGAGAGAAAAAAAAATTCAAATCAATTCTTTATTCAGTACATTAATGGTCATATACCTAGAAAACATTATATACAAATATCTAAACCAAACTAATTGACTCTTGTGACATTCTATCATGGAGTTTCTTGCTTTAATAAATTGATCAAAGTTTGATACAAATATTAAATGATTTGGAAATTGTGTTGTTGCTGTTGTTGTTAAATAATGTTGATTATTATTATTATTATTATTATTATCATCATCATTCATTAATAAAGTTAGATAAGTTGGAAATATATCAAATATTGAAATATATTTTCTTATTAAATTTACTGATGTAAGTCTGTATAATGAAATGGATTTTTTTGAGTTAACAATAGTAATATTATTATTGTTGTTGAGATTATTATTAGAATTAGAATTAGAATTAGAATTTATGAATTTTCTAAAATAAAAAATAAAAAAAATAAACAATTGATTATAATTTAATTATATCACCAAATATATTAAATACAAAATATATATATATTAAATATTTAAATTATTCCTTACTTTGATCCATAATATGTTGATATATGATTTGAATGTCCAGAAATTCCATTATCATCAAAAGTTATAATCTATAAAAATTGAAAATATATTTAAAAATGTTTTTAGATAAAAATTATAATAATAATGACAATAATAATAACTAAACTTACCATATCAACATCATTCTTATTTACATGATAATCCAAAATTTCAGATATCAATTCTACATCCCAAACATTTGTTGGTCCATCTTGTAATAATCTTTTAAATAATAATAATAATAATAATAATAATAATAAGTAAATAATTAATAATAATAAGTAAATAATAAATAATAATCTAATCAAAATTATTTTTATTAATTACTTACGGATGATCTAAACAAGTAACATTTTCTATATTAATTCCAAAAGAAATGCAACTAGCTTCAAGTTCTTTCTTCCGAATTTCACCCAATCCCGATTCATTCCCTAATTGATATTATTATTATTTCAAAATTATTTTCATCAATTTATTTAAATCATCATTATTATTATTATTAATTAATTAATTAAATCATTTCATCCAAATATTATTATTTTTTTCCAAACTCACCAATCGACAAACAAAGTACGTAAACTTTATTCTTTGACACTAACTCTAATATACTTGGACCAAAAAACATACATTCGTCATCGGGATGAGAGATTAATAATAATATATTTTTGTCTTTTATGATTTGCGAATTAAATCGTGATCCTCCATTTCTAAATTTGTTAACGTATTGTATTATGTTATTTAGAAATGTAATGATTATTATCGAAACTATTAATGAGTATATCATTTGTTTTTTTAGAGAAAAAAAAAAAGTTTAATTAATTAATTATGTGTATCGATACACCAAAAAAAAATTTACTTGTAATTCGATCACCTAACCATAAGTATATGTTGTCGAAATTCAATCACCTAACCATAAGTATATGTTGTCGATCATTCGTAATTTAAAGATAGTTTCGGAATTCACCTGTTTTGCTTGAGGCGTCTATTTTTTTTTTTTTTTTTTTGAAATTTCTTTTTCTCTATTTAAATTATTAATAAAAATAAAATAGCCTGTTTTGCATGAGGCGTCTAATTTTTTTTTTTAAAAAAAAAAAATTTCTTTTTCTCTATTAAATTATCAATCAAAATGAAAAATAAAGCATTCTCTGAAATTTTGGGTTATGTTTCGATAATTAGTTTTTTGGTTTTTTTTGTTCCGTACGTGATCTGCAAATCTATTATTTATTGTTAATGTTAATTAAAATAATTATCGATAATTTATGTTATCTTTTTTTTTTTTATCATTAGACAATATTACGAAGACTATAAACGAAAGTCGAGCGCTTCTATATCGTTGAGTCTCCTTTTTTTATGGGCTATAGCTGATGTTTTCAACTTAATAGGTTCAATATTGCAGGACCTAATTCCAACTGTGGTAAATTTAATGATGATATGCGGATCAAGATAAAATTTTTCTGCAATTATATTTCTCTATTTTTTTAGATACTACTTGCAATATTTTATAATATCGCTGGCATTCTCTTAATTATCCAAGTTTTATATTACCGTTATCGCGAAATTCCCAGTGAAATTATAAATGATAATAATGAGAGTGCTGGGAAATCAGAAACTTCATATCAAATAAAACAAAACTCCACTTCCACCACCTCCTCAACTTTTTCACGACATAAACAATTTTTCGTAATATTAGTTGGAACCTTTTGTGTTTTTTTTATCGGAATAAGTCTCTCTAGAATATCGGCTTTATCATTTGAAAATATTAACAATGATAATGAACAATTTAAATTTTTACCTCAACTTTTAGGTTGGTTCAGCACTATTTTCTATCGTAAGTTTTTATACATGTTTGTATATGCGCACTGTATTTGTTTTAAAAAAAAAATTCTCTTAAATTTATTCTAATTTTAGTTGGATCGAGAATTCCTCAAATTATTAAAAACTACAGGTTAAAGTCTACAAAAGGTTTATCAATGGTAATGTTTTATTTCTGCGTATTAGGAAATATCACTTTTTGTTTGTCAATTTTATTATATTCAACAGATCGTGACTATTTATTGACAAATTTACCATGGTTATGTGGAAATGGTGGAACTATATTTTTCGATTTTGTGGTAAGTTCATAATACATATCTAATAAAATTAAATTTATTAACTTCATATATAAATTAAATGCTTCTTTTTATAGATATTTGTACAATTCTATATATACAGTAATTGAAATAATAATAAGATTCGAAATTAATTCTTCTACGTGATTACTTATTTCTCATTAATAAAGATGGGGAAATAATAAAAGTAGATAGAAAGAATGAAAATTTTAAATTAAATTAATTGTTTATACATTTTATTATATAGCTTTGTTTTAAATGTCGATCTTTTGTATATATCGATAGAAATCATGCACATAAAGATTTTAGACATGACGCATCTTCAAGTATTGTTCCCTTTTCATAATAAAATTTATGATATGTATAATGAAGGCGTTTTGAAGAATACTAGAAAACAATACCCTTTGAAAGGAAGTGTTTAATCAGGCAGTAAATAATCAAACAATCCCAAATCTTTTAAAAAGAACCTTACAAAAATAAAAAAAAAAATATTAGAAAGAAAGAAAGAAATGAATTCTAAAATTTTTTTTTTATTATCGGAACAAGGTCAATAATCTCAAAATCATATTTCTCAATGTTCACGTATATGATTTTGACGAAGTGAGAATACCCGAAGGAACGGATGACTAATGGAAGCATAGAATAACCGTCTATTGGTTAACTAGATCAAAAAGAATATTATTATACACTTTGGTTTTATTGCGTGAATTAAATTGATATCCATCTTTTCTACATTTGCTAAAATATTGTACTATGTAATTTAGAAATTTAGTATCATATAATTATTATTATTTTTAGAGAAAAAAATGAAGTTTAATCAAAGTTCAACAGTTTCGGTCTAATTATAATATGGGTGGATCGATACACATTAAATTCTATACTTGTATTTATTATTTATATATATTGTCGATCATTCGCGTGTAAATTTTAGTTCAAATATAATAAGTATAAATTGAGTAAGTCTTCCTGTTGGGATCAGCAATCTCTTTTTCAATAGTTTTTCAAAAATGATTAATTGGCTGCTTGAGGCGTCTATTTTTTTTTTTTTGAAACCAATTTCTTCTCTCTATTAAATTATTAATCAAAATGAATAAAGCATTTTCCAAAATTTCAGGCCATATTTCGATAGTTTGTTATGTGATTTTTTTCATTCCGTAAGTGATCCGCAAATTTTTTTCATTATTATTAATTTTTAGTTAAAATAATTTATGTTGTCTTTTTTTTTTATATCATTAGACAATTTTATGAAAACTATAAACGAAAATCGAGCGCTTCTGTATCGTTAGGTCTCGTTTTTTTATTGTTTATGGCTGATGCTCTCAACTTAATAGGTTCAATATTGCAGCACCTAATTCCAACTGTGGTAAATTTAATGATGGCATGCGGATCAAGATAAACTTTTTTCTGCAATTATATGTATATCCCTCTATTTTTTTTTTTTTTTAGATATTATGTATAGCCTTTTATAATATCGCTGGCATTCTCTTAATTATCCAAGTTTTATATTACCGTTATCGTAAAATTCCCTTTGAAATTATAAATGATAATTATGAGAATGCTGGGAAATCGGCGACTTCATATCAAATAAAACAAAATTACACTTCCGCCTCCTTCTCAATTTTTTCACGACAGAAAAAATTTTTCGTAATATTAGTTGGAACTTTTTGTGTTTTTTTAATCGGAATAAGTGTCTCTAGTATATCGGGTTTATCACTGGAAAATATTAGCAATAATAATAAAAAATTTGAACTTTTACCTCAACTTTTAGGTTGGATCAGCTCATTTTTATACGGTAAGTTTTTATATGTACGCGCACTGTATTTGGTTAAAAAAAAAAATCCTGATTTTTTTATTTCTAATTTTAGTTGGATCGAGAATTCCTCAAATTATTAAAAACTACAGGTCAAAGTCTACGAAAGGTTTATCAATATTAATGTTTTATTTCTGTTTATTAGGAAATATCACTTTTTTTTTGTCAATTTTATTATATTCAACAGATCGTGACTATTTATTGGTAAATATACCATGGTTATGTGGATATAGTGGATCTATATTTTTCGATTTTGTGGTAAGTTCATAATACATATCTAATAAAACTAATTTTCATTAGACTTATTAACTTTATATATAAATTTAAATGCTTCTTTTTATAGATATTTGTACAATTCTATATATACAGTAATAATAATAATAAGATGCGAAATTAATTCTTCTATATGATTTTTTATTTCTTATTAATAATAGATGGGAAATAATAAAAGTAGAAAGAATAAAAAATTTAATTTAATTTAATTGTTTATACATTTATTATATAACTTTGTTTTAAATGTCGATTGTTAATATGTTTGTACTGTATATATCGATAGAAATCACGCATATAAAGGTTTTAGACACGACGCATCTTTCAAGTATAATTGTCCCCTTTTCATAATAAAATTTATTGTATGTACATATAACCGAGGCGTTTTGTAAATGCTAAACTTGAAAGGAAGTGTTTTATCAGGCAGTAAATAGTCAAACAATCCCAAATCATTTAAAAAGAACCTCACCTACAAAAAAAAATTATTATAATTTAAGAAAGAAATGAATTCTAAAAATTTTTTTTTTTTATTGTAGAAGATAACCCTAGTAAATAATTTAAATAATTTCAAAATGATTTTGACGAGGTGGGAATACCCGAAGGAGTGGATGAAAAATGGATAGAATAACCGACTATTGGTTAACTAGAACAAAAGAATATTATTATAATGGAAAAATTATGACATATTTATTCCTAATTTATTTAAATCTTTTGATTTCATTTCAATAATATTTTTCCAAATTTATATCTTCGAAACATGGAATTAAAGCTTTTAATCCTAACCCTTTAAACCAAGCTGGAAAATCTAAAAAAATAAAATAATAAAATATTATGATAAACCATATTACTACTAATTTGAATAATGAATAATTTGAGAATTTTTATATTAAATTAATTAATTACTATAATTAATTATAATTAATGAAACCAATCGTATAATTTTTATCAATTTTATTTTCGACTTTATTTATATCATCATAATTATATTTATTAGATTTATTTAAATTTGTTGTTAAATCCACGTTTATAAATATCCACGTTTATAATAATATCCATATTTAATATATTTAATAATATTGGTAATTTTAATTTGTTATAATAAAAGAATTCGAATTTATTATTATATTCTTTGAAGTGGTCATGAGTAGTATTGAATAAAGTCATTTCTTTCTTTCATCTGTATCTTACAACCCATTTACAAAGCATTAATGAAGTATATACTAAAAAAACTACTCTTGTGATACGTACATTGCTACTTCGCCTACAATGAGCAACTTAAAAAAATTTTTTGTTAACCATAATTATATGTTGTACAATTATGCCTCGGGTAGAATAATGCTAATTTTTTAACCTTAAAAAATGGATTGAAAATCATAAGCGAAAAAAACCAGATCAAATTTATATATCCTAATTCTCTGTAAATATAAATTTCCTTTTAAAAAATCATTTAGGCGGTTTTGAGAATTGTAGAATTTATCATCAAAACCTTCAAGAATCGTAAGAATCAGAAAGGTAATTCTTGATTAATTAGTCTTTAATAATTATAACTATTAGTTATTTTACAATACTAATGCAATAAATTTTTTCTACATTCAAATCAAGTAATCGATTATAATTTGTAATTTGAATTATTTTTTATTTATTTTTCTGTTTAATGTTAATTAAAATCAATTATTATTAAATGAATAAAAATTAAGCTAATAAAATGCCTCTGACCCTGAAGTCTTATTATTATTATTATCAAATAAATATTTTTGTTAAATATAAATATCATCGTAAAAGAGATCTCTCATTGCTGATTCGTCAGTTTGAATTGTTTGAGATAAATCATTTTCTTGAGGGTAAATATTTGAAGGAATTGTTGGAGATAAATTATTCCATTTCGCGGGAATTGTTTGAGATAAACTAGGAATTGTTTGAGATAAATCATTGTGATCATTCGCAGGAATTACTTGAGATAATCCAATTTCTGAACTGTTATTATCAGTAATGTTTTCTATTTGAATTTTTTAATTAACTGATAAAAATAATTTATTTATTTCTGAATATGATGAAATATGAAATCAACTCACTAGGTTTACGTTCCCTCTTTTTTTTTTGCTCACTATAAATGCATTTCACACCTTTACATAATTTACATGTATTTATGTATTTTCTTTTTTTCCACCTACTACATAAACCACAAGTGCGTTTTGTATTATTTTCGGTTTTCATGTTTGAAGATTGGGAAAGAGATATTTATATGTTTTTAATTACCGCGAAACCTCTATAATAGGAACTTGGTTATAATAAAAATAGTTCAGACTTTTTGCATTATAACTTTATTTACTATATATAGAAATGACTTAAATTGATCAACTTTCATTGGGGTTGAAGTTCCAGTATTTAATTATATCCATCAAATTTGAGAATATACTAAATTTAGCAAATCATTATAATTTCGCTTAAATAAAGATTTTTAATGATTGCTGATACTTCGTACTTCTTAAAAATGTAAAAAATGCTATTAACAAACAGTCAAGAAATGAAAAATTAATTGCAATGCCAGTGTCAAATTTATTTCCAAAAAACATAACAACAATGAAAATAATGAAAGTGATTTTAGTAAATATTCTGAAGAAAGTGAAAACGAATATAACTCAGATGAATATTTGGAGAAATGGTGCAATACTTATCTGGATTTAATTTAGTGTGAACTGATTTCTGCACAAAAAAAAAAGACCATATACAGACAATTCGATTGTAACATATTATTGTAAATATGATTCTTGTGAAAAATTTACTATAGCAACAAGTCACTTACAAATTTTTTTAATCCAGTTAATTCAAATGATGATGATAATGGAGTTAATAATGGAACTGTTTCTTTTATTAGAATAGATAGTAGTGTTAAGGACAGAAATCCACTCAGTTCCCTCACTCCTTATATCAGTTCTTTTAAGAAGTTTAACATGCTACATCCTAAGATATACAGTAGTTTGGTATGTTTTTTTTAATAATAGAAGGCACCAGTCCATTTTTAGTTAGAACAAACAAACTATTTGTTGTTGTGACATAGTCAATTGAACTTTGCTCTTCTTTCAGTGAGAGGTGTTAATTCACTATGCAAGTTTATCTTCATCTTTTAATTTGTTCTGAGGTTTATTCTCCAATTCATTATCTTCTTATTTAGTATGCAGGTCTTATATCTTTTACCTGTTTTATAACTAATACTTCTTTTTCATCTGCAAAACTTACATTTTTGATTCATCTTATAACAAATGGTTTAAATAATATAGGACTTACATCTTTTGTCTATATTAATAATCTTTTATATTTATTGCTACAAGTCAATTTTACTCATTTTATACATAGTTTTTAGACTTGCTGGTCTGTTGGATCTAGTCTTTTTCATCTAATCCCTTAGTTTCAATTTATTAAACTTGTCAATTTCTTCAGAATATCCTTTACATATAATTATGATTTACTCTTCTTAGAAATGAGTTCCAAGCATTATATAATTTCTACATCTTATCCAATTTGATATATAGTTATGATTTATTCTTCTTATGGTTAAACTTTTATAAAATATTATTTCCTTCAAGTTTTCATTATTTTTATTACACTTCATTAAATAAAAATTATATATAATATAACAATCAAGTTATTATTTATTTACTTAACAAAAATTAAGAAACAAAGTCAAGTTAACAAAATCAAAAGTTAGGCTAAACTAAACTAAGCTGAGAACAAGACTTTATCATGCTCTTTTTATATTTGTTTTACTGATGTATAATCTACAATTAGATTTTGTTTTCCTATTTGGTAACTTGTAAAAGGTAAATTATTCTATTTATAAATGATTTACAGTACATCTAAAATCAGATATTGTACAATTATGTGATCTGCATGCACAGATCGTCTAGTGAAACTGTATGCTTTCTTTTTAAAGCTAAAATATTTGCGATCTACCTATTTCAGATTAGCTCCTTAATCTGATTATACATATTTTATAAAACACGTCTTTTTGCCAATGTTACTTTTATACGTGTTGCCCAAATCCCAAATCATTTGGGATTTGGGACGCCAAAATCCCAAATTACTAGTATTTGGGATT